TTCAGGCTCAATTCAGGGAACTGGAGTACAGATCCAATTCCCTAGATCAAGAGCCCCTCACCAGTGTCAAAGAACCTCCCTTGATGGGTGTCGCAAGGTGTGATAACTGTCCATCAGATAAAGTTTACACTTCGTTTGGTCTACACCTGTGGGTGGTGTGTGTGACTCACGAAATCGTAATGACACGATTGCAAACTAACCATACCACGGGCGGGGATAGAAGCCGCAATCAGAGAGTCATTAAACTCCAGACCGACGCGTTAGCCACTTGGCCAGCTGGCTACGATAAGATACATCCAACTAGGTATATTTATATACAATAGGAAGGTTAGCATAGGCACCACTGTGACCACATTATTATAATCAAGGGGAAGCGCTAAACCCGTAGGATTATACAGCGCCTGGGAGGGATGTGGAAGGCATTCAGGCTTAATTCGGGGAACTGGAGCACAGATCCAATTCCCTAAATCAAGAGCCCCTCACCAACATCAAGGAACCTTCCCTGAGGGGACTGTGACCACAAATGCAAGTTTTTCAGACGAATCTCCCGCCAGCGTGGCCGTGACGAACCCTAGCTCCAGTCCCCTCAAAGCTGTCATCATGATTCACGAAATATTAATGACACACGTCGGTCTGGAGTTTTATGACTCTTTAATCGTGGGTTCTATCTCCACCCGTGGTATGGGGTGGTGTGTATGATTTTTAAAGAGGTGGATTGGTGAGCCTGCGGAAGTCCTCGATCAGATGACTAAAAACTCCAGCTGTGGGTCATCATGTGACTAAGACCCGCATCAGGAAACACTTGTCCTGTTTCCTGACAAACATTATACCTACCTGGTGGTGGTGATTTAACCTGCCAAAGATACCTGTATCCCAGCCGGAGCCGGGCGATAGTGACATCGAAGAGTCTGCTTATTTTGTTGCATGCACCATAGACACGTGGCTCCTGCATGATAGAATGATGATAGATGGGCTGACTGGTGTCAGTGTCTCTCAGTCTTAAGTCAGAGAGATGGTAATTCCCAATGAATAGTAACTCCAGCTCTGCTGAAGAAAAAAAACCTTTCAAGTTGCCATAGTTGATGAACCTTTAATGGAATACCTGTCAATATCCTCATTGCCTTACTGAAGTCTAGTATTATCACCTGCTACTGTTCTTGGTATATTTCAATGCACACAGCAATAATTATGCACAGACGGAAGACAAAACATATAATAATTTTAGTATTTAAAACTAACCTATATAACAATTTGAACAAGGAGAATAAAGGAAAGTGGTTCAAAAGGAATGAGTGGAGTACGAAAGTTGAAGAAAAAGCAGTGGAGAGGAGCAGTCTCTGTCGAGTGTTGTTCACTCATCAACAGTGAAATAAGTTCAATTTTTAACAATTATTTCTTGTCAGTTAAGTAAATGGACTCATGTGCAACTAGTATATTTGTTGCGGCTACGTTTTGCACACCAGGAGCTTCGTTAAGCTTAATAAAGTTCCTGATGAGCGAAACGCAGATGTGGTTCATTTGCTGTGTAATCCCAGAAAGGTGTCCCAGCGTCCGATCCAGCCCCTCTACCTCAATGATCGAAGAAAGGTATTCTCGTATTCTATTAGTTCAGTCTCCTCTACTTCAATGATCCGAGAAAAGTGTCCCGGTATAACCCCTCTACCACAATGCATGCAAAACGAATAATACAGAGTTTGGCATAACTTTCTAATGCATTTAAATATCAGTATTGAAGAGTTGAATCCATTATAATCTACCATTTTTATTTCTACAAGTACATGTATACAGACCATAGCTGACATACTACTATATAGAAAGCTGCTTGTTATGTACAGCATTTCGGACAAATTAGGTCAGTTTTGTCCCCAGGATGTGACCCACACCAGTCGAGTAACACCCAGGTACCCATTATTACTGATGGGTAAACATAGGCAACCGGTGTATGGAAACACGCCCAATGTTTCCAACCTTTGCAGGGAATCGAACCCGGAAGCTCACCGTATGAAGCGAGAGTTTTTGCCACCAGGCCACGGACCACCATTCACAAGTTATTACATGTAGACTAATATCCCAATTTCTTCTTTCTTCTCTAGTAGGTAAGGTCTAGCAGTATGCCCGGTAAAGGGTTTAATTAAACTTGAGGGCCTAACCATGCCGGACCAAGACTGAGCGCCGTACCAAAACTGAGCGCCGTACCAAAACTGAGCGCCGTACCAAGACTGAGCGCCGTACCAAGACTGAGCGCCGTGCCAAGACTGAGCGCCGTACCAAGACTGAGCGCCGTACCAAGAATGACGAACTAATCACGTCAAAACTACCACCACTGTCTCTAGTGTTACATTCGCCTGTATTCGGCTGACAAAGTCTGTTGTGCAGGCAGAACGCTTCGGTAATAAAGATACCAAAAGTAATGCACATTTGTCTTATTCTTCAACGTGTTACTGTCTACCATCAAGTCCCGGGTAACAATAAATGGTACTGCAATGTTATTACAGTGTTCTCCATCCAGCAATTAACACCATTTACTTTGCACAATCATATACTGGGAACACCAACCCTCGGCAAAAATGCCACATTTATCAGAGAGCCTTTCCTTCACGCTAATTATGTCTATCACTTACGATAGTAATAAATACAGTATGGTGATAACATAATTTGCTACGGTATTTTGTTATAAGTCGTTTCGTTTGCCGGGACTTCATCAGTTCATTCGAGGACAGAAAAACCTGAGGTTATATAGTGACTGAAGAGAGGTTAGCGAGGTGACCAGAGAGTTCAGTAGTCTGTGGCAAGGAGCTGAGGTCTCCTGGGAGAGGGCAAGATCTCAGGTGATGACTGTCAGTTTTATGTAGGATTAACTTTGCTAAAACCTTGATGATCAAGAATGACCTAGAGTTGTGTGAAATGGTGTTGATAGTGAAACAGTTACAGTTGTTATGATGCAGACTGGACGACACGCGTTGCTAGTATCGTCCCTCTGACGAAGATATTTGTGTTTCCTGATTATTGTGTTTAAGTTCACAGTAGTTTTCCCTATGTAACATTTTTCAGTCTCTACAAGGTATGATATAAACACCTGCAGTCGTGTTTGCTGGTTTAGTCACCTTTCTAAGTCCCTGATAGTACTCTAGGCTATGTATGCGACAGTGATGCTGGTTTTGGCTAAGATGTTGGCTAGATTACTGCTTGTTTGGGGAGGACTGTGTATTTGTTCTGACTTTATATGGAATACTTTCCGCTTTACTTTAACAGTCAGTGAAATGTCTCGCGTCCAGTGTCGATCCATGAAGACTTTACACATGTAATCACAAATCCTCTTGGATGGGGAGATTCTGACGTACCCAATGATGACCTGACAAGAAGTGTAGGTCATTTTTATTAGTGGGCTTTCGATAAATTCAAAAGTCAATTTTACCATCGTTTCTGAAAATAATGTACTAATGAAGATGTATTAATGTTGTTGATAAGACTAAGTGTTCAGGCGTCAAAGACAGATGAACAAAACATCGTCGACATAACTAAATTATACCACGTCTTTTATGATATGGATTTTGAATCTCCTCCTTCGGTTAGTAACCGTGGATAATCCAATGAAGCCTCTGTCAAGACTATCTTGTTTATTTCCATTGTTGTCCTTAATCCTCTTCTCCATGATGCGACCTATGTCAGTCGGCTAACACTCAAATACCTACCTACCGCTAAATGAACAGGGGCAAGAGTAAGGAAACATGCCTAACGTTTCCACGCGTGCCGGGATCGAACCGGGTCCCTCAGCTACTACCAAGCCACAAGCATGACAGATTGTTTATGGATGGAGTCCCCGAAGAAGTAACTGTAGTTGACGCAAAAGTCGATTACGTCGAGGAAGTCCTTGGCAGGAATAAGTAGACTGAGATCAACATGCACCTTGTGTTTGAGCAGCTCTAATGCTTGTACGGAAAGCCTTTCGGTGAAGAATGTTGTCATTATAATCATGGGAAGCGCTAAACCCGTAAGATTATACAACGCCTTTGGGGGGGATGATGGAAGGTATTCAGGCTCAGTTCAGGGAACCGGAGCACAGATCCAATTCCCAAGATCAAGAGCCCCTCACCAGCGTCAAGGAACCTCCCTTGAGGGGCATTTTTGTTATGAAAAAGCTGCAGTGCTGTGAACTCCTCAAGGACTTCCGCAATGCCAAACTAGTAATCAGGGAATCAAACCAACGCAGCAGATGCTATTTGGGCATCATTCATCGCTCCAACCAACACCACAGCATGAAATATTGGAATCTTCATGATTTCCGAAATTCTGAGAACTCAATTTACCAAAGTAACACACGGCCCTGACTTAGCCCCGCCCTCTCTCACAGCACCTGACCTCCGCCACTATATTGCCTCGTTTTCTGTATTAGATTGACGAAACCCCTGGTGAAAGATGTCTCCTTAATGTCTTAAAAGCTGCATATATTTCTATTTACATCAGGTCTGCTTATTTGATAATCATGTATCTATTGACTTGTAATATTACTGTTTTCTTCAGAGCCTCTTAAGTATTAACTGCTGGGTTGCCATTCGTGTCTTTGTGAAGACAAACAGGAAATAACTGGACATCAGAGTGCCCCACAATTTTCATGTGCTCTGCTATTATAATCAAATGTTGCTTTAGTCGTTATTTGACTATATATTTACGTGTAGAGTGTTAGTTATCAGATGATTGGGTCATACTGCACTCATATGTTACACATAACACTGACTCTTCCAAGTACTCTTATTGCCAACTGATGCATGTTGCGATTACTGAAATTGCTATTAAAGAGTTAATGTAATTGCAAATACTGAGTAATTTGTCTTTATACAAAATACATATGAACCTAAAGTATTAGTGAGTGTTCCAATGTGGGGGAAACTTAGGAAAGAAAACTGACCATAAGATAAGTGATGAAGGAGGCGCTGGAGGTGAGTTAAAGGGGCGGGGCTCTGAAGATAATGTAAACGTCTGCCTTATAATTGGAAGCGCGCGATCACCATAGTTTAGTGTGCTTACGGCTGTTGTATCGAGTGTCTGGCAGTTACCACAGAAGCAGCAAACGTAACAGAAGTGGAGGGCCAGGGTACTATCGCTCCACCGGCCACCGTCCACATCAAGATGGATCTCAATAATATAGGCGATAAAGAGAGTTTCACCATAGCGTATGACAATGAAATGTATAGTTCACGTCCGGATTTCCCGATAGGTTAGTGTATTTTAGCCTTTGCATTAAGCTATAATAATTATCTGATGTTCGGATGCTCAGAACAAACTTGCAGCTAATCGGCATAATGCTCGTGAAATGTGTTTTAGATTATGCTGTCCGGTACTAATCAAACGAATCTTACATGTAAGTGTTGAGCACAGGAGGTATAAAATACCGGCAAGTGGCAAAATAAGGACACAAAAGCAGAATGGACATTTTGTTAGGACAAAGTGACTTTGTTTTGCCTAAAAGTGATCAGGTTGACCCAGTAGGGGTCTGACGTTACATGTATCTCAGGGATACAACATACTCTCCCCTCGGCTTCACTTGTGAGAATGTAGATGAGATATTACTTCTATTAGTTTATCACCGGTGATCTGCAGCCCTTCCTGGAAACTATAAGAGCGTTAGATTTCCAATGAATTTAGCCACGACGATTAACAATACATTGTGGCCGTCACACGGGATAACATACTCCCCGCTTTTGTGATTAAAAACGCATGACCAAAATACTTTTTACGTTTTGTTATGGATAAGTGTTGGTTCTGGGACCTTGTTCACTCCAAATTTCACAACTTATCGGTATCATACAGCAGGTTTTCACCAGATTTATTTGCGTTTAAAACACGTAAATTTATTTGGGTAGCTTGAAGGGTAGTAAAGCAATACATACACAACGATTATGTTAGGTTAATGTTATGGTCGGAAAAATGGTAGATGCAGTTCACTGTGGAACAATGCAAAGTCTTAATCCTTGGGAATGAAAATAATTCTGGAACTTATAAATTGAATAATGACTAGCCTGTTCACACCGAAAACGAAAAGGATTTTCTGCAGACAACACCATCGTCGTCACCGAGGCAGAAGTCTCGTATACTAACCACCATGGTTTACAAAGAGAAAATGTGAGACATCTTAAATGATGGTAACACATATTCCACTGTATTACCAAGAGAAATGACGGATCCAGTCAGTAAATTCCCATACAAAGTTAGGCAAAATTTACAAGTGTGGAAGTTGGAACGAAGAAGAAAACTACCATATTTGATCCCTATTAACTCGAGACCTGCCAGTATGTACAGTCTAGAACACAAAACGCACAAATCCATTATCCCCTTACGGTCCGTCACTTCAACTAAACATTCAGGGGATCTACTATCACACCTCAAAGAAATCGGCATTTCCAACATGAAAGTAGCCAGAGCGACGTCATTTCCTTATTCACCAGCGTGACAACGGAACAGGCCAATGATGTACCCTAAAAAAAATGAACGACAACTCTGAATTATTCTTACAATGTCAAGATTTCATTGAGCTGTTTGAACTGTGTATAAACTTAAGCTGTTTTACATACGGAGGTATTTACTACAAACGCGCATAGGTCATGGCTATACAGCATGCTCACCAGTCGGCGAGGCGTTTCGCCTGCTCAGCAGGCTTCTTCTGTCGAAATATAGAGGAAACAACAGAAATCGTGATGTAGCTATGAGGTAATCAGTCCATCAGTGGCCAGTTCCTCACGGACTATTCACCTCATATCTACATCTTGGCTACTTACACTGTTTCCTCTGTATTTCGACTGAAAAAGCCTATTGAGCAGGCGAAACATCTCATCAATAAAGGTACCAAACAGCTGCACAAGTGACATACTTATCTACATGTGGATAATGGATAACAAATATAATAACTATAAAAAACACACGCAAAAGGCCTCAAGGCTAAAACTAAAGATTATGCCAAATAAATACACAATCTCGGAGAAGATTGCATAATGTGAGGAACTTGAGAAAACTAAATTATTCACAGAGGAAACAAGGATACTTACCGGAAAGTGGGAAGGAGAAGCCATGAAGAAAACATTTTGAGGAACAAACCTTACCTTGTTTTGAAACTTGTACGGAGAGCGACACTTTGTCAGGATAAAAGCTTGTCTGCAGCCTCAGTCATAAAGCTGAGCGAAAAGTTGTCCTAAGGAAAGCTTCTTCTGCATTACTGTGGCAGTATGGCCATCTGGAGACAGCGTTGCCAGGTAATTATAATTACCACCAGAGGTTCACAGAGCAACTCAAGAAATTCCAGAATTTCTACTCCCTTGTAAGTTTCTTCTCCCTGTCACCAGTGGTGTACTAGCCTTAGATGCAGAACACTCAGTCTTCTTTTTTTTTTAATATATGATAGGGTCCACCTCTGGTGTAAATTGTGGACCCATAGCCTTGGAGAAGTGGATAAAAAGGCTTCAAGGAAGAAAGAATATTTGTATTTCTTCCTGAAGCCGTTTAAATATTCCACTTTCCCTACCACCCCATCTTTTCATTCTTTTTTACCAATAGGTATATTTTATTACATAATATTGTACAAAAGGTTTAAAAGATACATTGTTGATATAAAGATGGCATATACAGTACACGAGATGTGAGAGATATATGTCTAGCACATATTGTTACACGTTTATCACTGATTATAATGCGAAAATCTCATCCAGTTCTTCAGAACTGGGGCGCGTGTCCAAAATACAGCAGGCATTACCCCTCTGAACAGCAGCGCTGAGTCGCTGAAACAGAAAACTAGCTGCCCTGGAATCCCTAGTTACCCTGATGAGTCTTTTGCCTTAGCTCCTTAAGGAACTTAGATGCACGCTTTCCCTATGAGCCAAGGATCTCTGAGCCTATGGGAACATATAATGATAGGCAAGTTCTCCATATTTTCTAGACTCTTCTGTATTTTTTTACGTTCAGCGTCTAGGGACTGCATATTATTTATTATTTTTATCGTATATTATGTTTCCTTTCAGTGGTATAAACGGGAAAACAATCCTCCCCCCCCCCCCCCGAAAACCAGTTCCAAACATTCGTAATACTTATATTTTATGTTGGACTATTCAACTCGCCGAGTAATTTGTCTTAATATACCGTATTAATACACTGGTTGGCATTCAGCTCGTCTCGTTTCGTCATACACACATGTATACATATGAACACAAACACATTCCCATTTATGCACACGTACGAGTAAGACCAATAAAAGTGTAATGAACACTTGTCCGGTAAGCCAGCGGAAAGCTTCTGCCAGATGACCAGAAGCTTCAACGGTGGGTCATCATCTGACTAAGACCCACATCAGGAAACACTTGTCCTGTTTCTTGACGAACCTTACCTAACCTAACACTTTTCGATGTTAACAGCCCACGTAGATGCAGAAAGTCCGAAAATAAAGAAGATAAATGGGAAATAAGATTAAGAAACCTTACGAAAAATGTTCTCAAGAGTCCTGTGATATCCGTTGATGCAATAAAAATTACAGTAAACAGTTGATATCACAATATGCAAAATATGCACAGTGAAAAATACTGAGCTTGGTCTATATATTTCGACCCCTCTATTGTAGCCTTCATTAACAGTTTGTCTCTACGTGGGTTATTACTTTATACACATATGCATATAAATACATAACCATATTCGCAAATATACATACAAGCATACATATACACATATACTCACAAGTATATATACACATATGTATATGCATATGCACACATACATATTTTTACATTTTGATGTATTAGAATTTTATGACCACCTGCTCTTTTCTTTTTGTCTGCATCGAGGTAGACGGGGCTGAGCTTATGAGATATGGGATACCTTTCCCGGACTGTGCAGCAATTAAAACATATCTAGTTAACTTTATATAATCTGGTTAAAAAAAATAGGAAAAAATAAGGGGAACGTAAGGTACAGACCGAAACAAGGGATTATATATATATATATATATATATATATATATATATATATATATATATATATATATATATATATATATATATACCTGGAGTTTACCTGGAGAGAGTTCCGGGGTCAACGCCCCCGCGGCCCGGTCTGTGACCAGGCCTCCTGGTGGATCAGAGCCTGATCAACCAGGCTGTTACTGCTGGCTGCACGCAAACCAACGTACGAGCCACACACACACACACACACACACACACAATAATATATATATATATATATATATATATATATATATATATATATATATATATATATATATATATATATATATATATATATATATTATATATATATATATATATATATATATATATGCAATAAGATCACAGTAAACAGGTGATTTCAGAATATGCAAAACAACCACTCTGAAAGAATAGAGAAATTCCAAGCGCTTTCGTGACTACTCACATTATCAAGGAACTATATATATATTATGTTCCCTTGTTTCGGTCTGCACCTTACGTTCCCCTTATTTTTTCCTATTTTTTAACTAGATTAGGCACTGATGAAGAATCCTTAGCGATTAACCGACACAGTGGAAAAATAAAACACAAAATGTGGTATAATGCCACCCTTTATTGGATACGTTTCGCTCACACAGTGGGCTTTATCAAGTCACAAATAGATGTACCAGTGTAGGGAGTACACAAGTATATACAGGGAGGAGAGTCAGGTGGAGAGTGCTGGGTAGGTTGGATTTGAGACGGACATTGTCACCCGTCCTGTACAGGTCCGTCTCATGTTCACTTTATCCAGGAAGATCTGTTTGTGACTTAATAAAGCCCACTGTGTGGGCGAAATGTAGTCAGTAAAGGACTGCAACTGCATTTGTGTTTAATCCCCAATTTCCAGAATCTGGGTCTTCATCCTAATAAGTTTGTTAATGGTGAAGTGGGGAGCAGTGACCAGAGTGAGATTTTAAAAGAATGTTCATTAGGGATCAGGGAAGTGTCTCCCGACACGAGTCTTCGTTAGTTAGTTACTAACAGGCAACAGGTTTTGCATAGGGTACTGAAATTATGCAAACACAAAATCGGAACAATGAATTAGTCAAGTAAACTCATATTTAGATAGGATACAGTACGAGGTTGCACTGGTTCAGCAATAGTTATAGATAAATGCCAACGCACTAACAAGTAGCAACAATGAAGATAAAAATCTGATTGTTAAAAAAAAAAATAGGCTACGTAAATATTTGAGTGAGAATAGTTAAGCGTGTGTAGGATTTGGATAGCCAAGCCTATATTTGTATACCCTATTTTTAAACAAATTTTCCCTGCATCTCGAATACTAACGAACTTATTCATTCTCTCAACTATTTATACTGGAAACAAGGATTTAAACATTGACTCCGTGGAACGCCACTCATAAATAGTCCCCATCCTGAGTTCTCCCAATTTATGCAAATTTTTGTCAACAATTTCTTGATCCACAAATGGCCTTATCCTCCAGTACTGGGCGTTGCCGCTTTTAACAGTCGCTATTGCGAAGCAATAAAATGTCTTACGACTTTCAAATAAAAGTTGTACTCTTTATCAGACACCACCTAAAACGTTTTTATGAAAAAAAGGCAAATTTAATAGACAAGAACTGTCCCTTAACAAACCGTGTTGAAGTTTACTTCTCAAATGGTAACTGGAGGTTATGGAACTATCGACCCCATTTTTAACAGTTACCACAGAGCAATCTGCCATACCTCCAGGACAATGTCCGTGTCACTTCATAAATTAAAACGTACTTGTGGTTTACCAAGTTTCCCTTTGAATTAATTACGAGCCTTTAAGTATGTTGGGCTGGTTTTTTCTAGACCTTAATGATAACAAGAATGAGGAAAGGAAGGGTGGGAACAGCATTGAGCGGCGAAAAGGATTAAGGATGGACAGGTTACGTGGACAGGTTACGTGGCCTAACCAGTTTGACTTTAAGTATATTTTGTCATATGGTAGCGAATGGCATTATTTTCTTTAGATTTATGTTGACACTCTTTCAGGCTTAACCATAGTCCTATATATACATGGAAGAGTTCTTGAAAACTGTAACTTACACGTCACATTCCTTTTACTGTTTTTTAAAGCAATGGTCCACAAGATGGTCGTATTATAATGCATTTATAACTATCCTAGCCAAGAATTGTTTATGTAGGACCTGCCCATCTGAGTCGGTTTACTGCAATGATTTTTAACGATGCTTAATTAGGGTTATTTGACGTCTGTAGGGAATGGTGCTAGGTAAAAATTATAGTTATTAGTGCACAAATAATCCACATATAGGAAAAAAGAAGCTTACGACAACGTTTCAGTCCAAACTAGTCACATACTGTGACCAACTAGTTAATGGTCCTAGTCGGACCGAAACGTCGCCATAAGTTGTTTCTTCTATGTGCGGGTTATTTGTATATTGTTCCAGTCACTGTATTGTCCTTTTTATCTTTTACAGTTATTAATGGCACACCTAACTTAACCTAACCTAACTAGCATACTTACCTAGCTTACACTAACCTAACCAAGATACCTAATTTAATCTATCTTAACCAGTATACATACCTAACTTATTCTAACCTAACCAGTATATACTTAACCAGCATTCATTCATTTTATATACAGCCACATGCGAAAATAAAGTAAAACAAGCAATTACTGCACCACTTTTTTTCGTATTTTTCACTTGTGCCATTTTGACCATGCACCACGAGGATTGTTACTAGGTCAGCATATACACTGGACAAAATATAATTATACCAATCCTCTGCAGTACTGTTTGACTGGTTTTATCTATATAGTTCACAGTCAGGTAGTAGTACAATAGGGGGTAGTAACTTATTGCAATGTATGTCCTTATTTCCTTATTTTTTTACACATCTATTCAATTTTGTATTTGTAAATTTTTTTTGTTATATGGGGAATATGTCAACAGGCAACTCTCTACTTATTAAAATTCTAAAACCATGTGTTAACGTTGTTAACACATTTACAAGTGCAGTGGTCCCCTTGTCTTATGTCAAGTGTATGCGGTAAAGCTACTATTATTAACCCATTTCTTTATGTAATCAATCCATCAGTCTTGATGGGCTGATTACATCGACTCCAGGCTGAGGGACTGATTTTCTCAAACACCTTCTGATCGTCTCCATGCTTCTATACATTGGACTGATGAAGCAACTGTATGACGAAACGTTTCCACAGTAAAGATACCCAAGTGTTGCGCATGTGTCTATATTTACCAACTTGTCAGCTCTGTGAATCATTTACCTACATGAACATACATTACCTGTGTTGTAGGGGCTGTGCTGCTGGACCTGGACGAGAGAGATCTTCCAGGTATAGTGTCCCGGGTGGTGGACCAAATGATCACAAGTGATCAGATTCCAGAGGAACATCGTGAGACTCTCCTCAGAATTCTCTTGCAAAAGCGCAATTCTTCCATTGTAACAGCCGGGTATGCATCCTTCTCCCTGCTAGGAACGGTAAAGTTCCCGTTTTGACCAATTCTGTTTTATTTTTATTATTGTTTTTATTTTTATTTATAAATAAGTTAACTATAGTAAAATTTATTTTTAAACCAATTTAACCATATTTTTTTATCAAACTTTGTATCACTGTGTATTTAAAATTTTACTTAGACTAACCACAATAGTTCCTTTTAAATTATTTTACAGTAGCTTTACTACATCATTGTTTTTATTTATAAGATGAGCAATAAAGTTCTTTAACCATATTACTTTTATTTATTTGAAGTAAGACAGCAAATGCTCTTGTTTACCTCTTAGGACGGAAGAAAAGCCCAGTTCAGAAGGTCGACGACGTTCATCAGTACGTAGGATATCCAATGGTTTTCCTCTCAATAATGATGAACTTAACGGTATGTCCAACGGCACCATCCCCAAGGATGCCCACAGAGATCCTGCTGGGTATATCCGCCATAACCTTTTCACAGAGGTGAGTGCTTGCTGTTACACTGCAGCCTGACCTGCGGACGTAAGTAGTCTGGAAACGCTCTGAGAACATCAGTCAGTCAGACGTCATTACCACAGTTCTCAGTGATCATTTCATCATTTACTGCACCAGGGATAGGATAGGCCTACACAGGACAATAAAAATGAGGACAACTATAAACTACAGTAAAGAAACACTGGTAAATAGGCTACACAATTGTGACTGGACAGAGATAACAAGTTGCACGGACGTAAACGATGCCTGAGAAAAATTCAAAACAGTGTTCACTGCCATCCTTGATAATATTGTACCAGTTAAAGAGGCTAGGATTAAACGAAGAACTGAACCCTGAGTGACTACTGAGATATTAGATAATATGAAATTCAGAGACCAGCTGCTAAAAAGATTTAAAGCAAACAGACAAGATATTGCAGCACTAAATGAATTCCAAAGGGTGAGGAACAGAGTGCAGAGACTTATGAAAGGAGCAAAGGCAAAGCACTATTGCTCAAAAATTGAAGAGTATAAGCATAACCCCAGAAAGCTCTGGCAACAACTAAAACAGTTGGGGTATAGCCATAAACCAGTAGACAGGTCTAACATGGTACTCACTATCGATAACGAGGTATGCCACGAAACATCTAAGGTGGCAAATTGTTTTAATTCCTACTACACATCTGTTGCATCAACACTAGTAAGTAAACTACCAGCTGCCTCAAATACCTTTAGCACAGACTAATAAGTTTCAAACATACTATACCAATAAAGGGGTAACCCTAAACAGTTGTCAACTAGTAAGTGTATCTCATAACTTTATTCAAAAAGAACTAAGCAGGTTAAACCCAACTAAGAGCACTGGCCCAGATAACATCCCGTCTAAGTTCCTAAAAGATGGTGCTTCTTAATTGTCAATCCCTATTGCTCACATAATAAATATATCAATCACCACTAATACCGTACCGGATGGGTTCAAGGAGGCCAGAGTTACTCCTGTCTTCAAGAAAAATAATAGGTCTGATGTAAGCAACTATAGGCCTGTTAGTATACTCAGTATAATATCCAAAATTCTAGAGAGGGCGGTGTACTGTCAAGTAGTTAAGTACCTTAATGACAACAACATTCTCCATAGCTATCAATCGGGCTTTAGAAGATCTTACTCAACCGACAGTGTAGTAAATAAAGCGAATGCCAGACTGAAGTTCCTCTATAGACAAGCACAGTGTCTACACACTGAGGCTCGCAGGACCCTATGTCTAGCACTTATAGTGTCATATGGATTACGCTTGTTCTTCATGGTACTCTGCCTTGACAAAAAAAAAAACTGAAAGATAGACTGCAAATCACCCAGAACAAAATTGTAAGATTCATCCTGGACCTGGGTCCAAGAGAGCATGTAGGCCAGAACGAATTAAAGCAGTTGGATATGCTGAATGTTGAAGACAGAGTAAAACAACTGAAGCTAAATCATGTTTATAAAATTGCTCACAAACAGTGTCCAGAATATCTTGCTGTCAGTTTTGTCAAGGTTGGGAACCAAAGCAATCATAGTACTAGGGGGAGAGAGCACAACTTTGTAGTACCCACAGTCAGTGGCCAGGCTTCAAACACCTTTTATTGTACAGCAATAAAGGAACGGAACAGACTGCCTGCACATGTCAAAGCCAGTCATAACATGAACCAGTTCAAGAAGAGTGCCAAAAGGTGTTTGATGACTGTAGCTACGGAAAGGGAGGGGAATGATTATTTTTTTTTTTAGCTAACATAATTTTACCTTATTCCTAGTAATGACCCTCGTATTGTAGTCTTAATGACCCTCGTGTAGTAGATAGTCTTCTTAGTATGATAATAAGATGTTATCTTCATTATAGAATAATAAAATGTTACAACCTTTATATTATAATAATAAGGTAAAAGGACCCCAATGGAAATAAGTCACCTTGTCTGACTTTTTTTGGGTTATCCCAGGTTCTCTACACATATGCTGCTATGTATGACAGTCTATGTAACTGTATTTGTGTATACCTGAATACACTTACTTACTTAGGTCATTTAATATGTAATTTGGTGGCGTTTTGGTCATGACCATTATCAAATCACCATTATCAAATTTTGTGGTTAGTTAGCTTCAAAGCCTATCGACTATGCATAGGTCATCACAGGATATTTGCACCAAAAGGTGTATTTCTTTTAGTGTACATACGCTGAGAGTTTGCCTTAATCCCTAATTTAGGAATTGAAGTATTCTTGTCTAGTGAAAAAAATTACCTGAAATCTTAATGACTCTAGTGTAGTCGATAGGTTTTAAACACTACTAACCAACCTTCCATAAGTCACCAAGGACGCAATTTATTTGTACATTAATTTCATTTACATTATAAAATAATAATGCAAACCTTACACGATGTTTACACGCTAATATAGGTGCTTCTCTTTCTATATACAGTGATTAATGGAATTTGGCACCTTGTGAATAGTTGTCTTACACTTGGAATACTTGCTGTTGAATAATTATAAATACACTTCATTCACTGCTCTGTATATTTAGGCTACAAGTGTTATTATTATGAAATTCAAGCTTATGAAATTAAATGAATATATTAAATACATGCTCGCACTGTTGTGTTACTTGGACTGGCTTCTTAATAACACCTAAAAGTAATTATTTCTCCAGTATTTGTTCCGAAGTCTTGTAAACTATTGTTATTAAAGTAAAAAATCTTCCTGCATAATAATAATAGTAATAATAATAATAATAATAATAATAATAATAATAATAATAATAATAATAATAATAATAGTAATAATAATAATTACTTTTTCAGATTGACATAGATTCAAATGTACTCTATAACAATAAGGAGACAAAGTGTTTTCCTGAGGGAGGTGAGATGACTGCGGTAATGGCTGGTGGTGTGAGCTTCCTGCAGAGTCCCATCCTCATCTTCGTCAGACTCGCTGAAGGAGTCTTGCTCAGAGATCTTATCGAAGTAAGCTATTTATGTCACGTTTGTCAAGTTTGAAAAGCTAAATCGTGTGTAATCATGGAAATTTTAACCATGTGTGATTGTATATAATGTTTTACCGATAAGTTTTTGTTTTGTGTAGAAATTCCATCCATATCTAATTGTATTTACTGTTTTCTTTAGGCTTCAATACCTGTGAGGTTCATATATGTCCTCCTTGGTCCATTCCATGATGAGAAGGACTATCAAGACATTGGTCTTTCCATTTCCAACCTCATGGCAAGCAAGGCGTTCCGCCAGGCGGCATACACTGTACAATCCAAGAGTCAGCTGCTTTTTGCTGCTAACGAAGTTCTACCTCCTCCTTCCTATACAAGAGATATAGATCTTATAGATGCCACTCAGATAATGAAGAAGAGAGAAAGCATCCTAATAAAGAACGCTCAGTGTGAACAAGGTAATGAAAAAAAGATAACCTAAAGTGATTTTTCCCACTAAGGTGACGCGAAGGTGAAAACATCGCCATCACTCATTCTTTAGCAGGCTTTTCCAGGAGCATACACATATCATGATTCAAATGACCTGAACCGTGATATCCAGTACGGTATGGTGTTTATATATTACAGTAGTAAGTCTTAATACAGTGGAAAAAAGTTTGTTTTAGAGAAAACACCCGGACAGTATTCTAATTAAAATTAAAAGTTTTAAAGTAATTATTGAGTAGACAGTTAAAAAATTACTTTTACATTAGAGGTAATTTTGTTGTATCATAACTAGATATAAAGATTCCTTATTGGCGAGAGCCGATTATATTCTCATTACACTAAGAAAGTACTCACTTTTAATTTAGAATATATGCTCTCTCTCTTTCTCTCTCTCTCTCTCTCTCTCTCTCTCTCTCTCTCTCTCTCTCTCTCTCTCTCTCTCTCTCTCTCTCTCTCTCTCTCTCTCTCTCTCTCTCTCTCTCTCTCTCTCTCTCTCTCTGTTGAAGATATAATTTAATCCCTGTGTGCTTTAAATGTTAATTATTTTTAAGATATTTCAGTTGTCTTTGATACTATCGCCTAACAATGCAGGCAACATTTTTAATTTGTACCGCCCACAGGATGGGTATGGGGTGCATAATAAACATATAAAACTAACTAACTTTACAGCACTTGAGCATTTTTTTTTTTACTATTACAGCCGCAGCAGCAGCAGCGGCGGCAGCAGCGGCGGCCGGGGATGGTAATGATGGGGATAAGAAACCACCAGAACGTAATCCTCTGATTCGCGTCGGAATACCTTTCTATGGCGTGTATCGGGATATTAAGGACCGCTACATGAAGTATCCCTCAGACATTATAGACGGTTTCAATGCTCAAGTGGCTGCTGCAGCCATCTTCATCTTCTTTGCTGCCCTTTCACCGGCCATTACATTTGGTGGCATGTATGGTAAGCTATCATATACTGGAGAATGTAATTATTTTTGTTTCAAAAAGTATTTAATGTCTAGCTTAGACGTGATATTACTACCGGTCTAACTGTAAAATGCGGATTGGGAAATAGTAGAAGACTCCACATTAGGTACAAAACCAGCAGTGGGGGTTACAGTGCCCGGGGAATACGACGCAGTCTGGTTTGATATAAGGAATGGACGGGTAGTTCTAAAGGTGGGAACTTGACAACCTTGTGTCTAAGAACAGTACAAGTTTAAATGCTTTTTATATACATGTAGCTTAGTTGCTATGGTGGTCGTCTCGCCTGAGGTCGCCGGATCGGTCCCCTGGACTCTCCTTAAACAATTTGCAGTTTTCAATTTTTTTTAACACAGCTGTCCGTTTCCCACCGAGGCAGAGTGACGCGAAAAAGAAGCACTTTCAGAAAGTTTTTCTGTCTACATTTAGTGATTTATGCAAGAGAAGGGGTTACTAACCCCTTTTTACCCCTCTTACGATATGTATGTCATACGGAGGGAGAATTCTCCACGAGTATTTGGCTATATATGCCCCTCAAGGAAGGTTCCTTGACGCTGGTGAGGGGCTCTTGATCTAGGGAATTGGATCCGTGCTGATTCCCTGAACTGAGCCTGAATACCTTCCACCCCCCACATGCGCTGTATAATCCTACGGGTTTAGCGCTCCCCATGACTATAATAACATGTATATGCGTATAGTATTTGTAATCGTATATGAAAGTATAGTGTTTACTTTCTCTCTATATTTTTATTTTACGAATAGTTCCTATTTTTCAGCTGACAAAATGGATAATTACATTGGAGTTGGTGAATGCTTGCTCTTATCTTGCGTGAATGGTGTCATCTTTGCTCTGTTCGCCGCTCAACCACTGCTGATTGTAGGCGCCACCGGTCCTCTTATGGTCTTTGACATGAGTCTTTACCAAGTGAGTTTTTCGGTATAATGATATTGTTAATAATATATATTGGTAATTTGCGAATGGGCTGAATAGTCGTTTAAAGTTTACCTCCAGTCAGTGGGTTAGTTGTCGTCACATGTCACTATAAGCATAGTAACTTGCTTATTTTTCTGCTTGCCCACAAACTGAGATAAAACTAGACGTATCAGTTACGGTAATGTAACTTATATGTTCCATTAATTTTCTGTTTTAAAAAGCATTATTAATCTTAATATAAGAATAATAAAAAATATTAAATAGTCTTTCTTTCTAGTTTTGCCAGACAAATGAAATTGATTTCCTGTCCATGAGAGTGTGGATTGGCATATGGATGACGGTCATTGGGTTATTAGTCGTTGCTGTGGAAGCCATAGCTCTTGTGAGGAAGTTCACCAGGTTTATCGAGGAGATTTTTGCTTCCTTAGTTTGCATCATCTTCGTCTACGAGGCCATTACAAATATGGCGGCTATCTTTTATGACCATCCACTCTTGGAGGTGTATAGCTGTGGATATTATCCCTCAAATACAACATCTTATCCTAATACAACGTAAGTAATCATTGTTTGCTTCCATTTTTTATGACAGAACCTTTAATATGGGAAAACACGAACATGGAGTATCGAAAGTAGTAAAGGCTTTAGGATATGCCTTTGAATATAAAATGCACTTACGGTCTCTTTTAGTAAGCTAATACTGCTTTACTGCTCCTTTTTATCTTAGTGTTTCGTGTCTTGATACCATAATGCTGTTTGAAAGTATGAATAGATATGCACGTCAATTTATAAAGATAACTGCAATACGAACGAGGAAGATATTTGTACTCAAGTTTTCCATCATAATTTTTGCTTGTTTCAGAATGGAAGTCGGGTTCGATAACATCAGTGATATGTCATTGCTTGACACTGTTAACGGCAGTATCATCGACAGTGAGGACGGCAGTATCATCGACAGTGTGAACGGCAGTATCAGCGTTAGCGTCAATAGCACTATCAAGAAAGCTATGAAAAAGCGCAAAATGAACCCCCAGCCCAACACTGCTCTCCTCTCTCTCATCCTCATGCTGGGAACCTTTATTATTGCCATTAAGCTCAAATACTTTCGTAACTCTAAGTATTTAGGCAGAGGCGTAAGTTCCAATTTATTATTTATAAGTTTAACACCCATCAACTGCATCAAATAGATCTACCAGGGATACTTTAATTTTAAAATCGGGATTAAAGTACGTACTTTGATGGTAGGCTACGTACAGTTAACTTGTTTCGTTAGGTTTAACACCCACCGACTACATAAAGTAAATCCACCAGTGATACTTAATTTTAAAATCGGGATTAAAATAAGCACACTGAAGTCTTGGGGCTAAAGCTCTCGCATCACACACGGAGGGCTCGGGTTCGATTCCCGGCGGGGCGGAAACATTTTGACGTGTTTCCTTACACCTGTTGTCGTTCACCTAACAGCAAATAGGTATCTGGGTGTTAGTCAACTGGTGTGGGTAGCATCCTGGGGAACAAGATTGAGGACCACAATGGAAATAAGACAGACAGTTCTCGATGACGCACTGACTTTCTTCGGTTATCCTGGGTGGCTAACCCTCCGGGGTTAAAAATCCAAAGAAAATCTTATCTTAAGGCTATATACAATGAGAAAGTAATCTCGGTGTAGATTGATTCCCTTGATTTTTTTACGTTTTATGCTATGGATATAATACGAATTAATAACATGGTTGCATCTGGACATTTTAATTATAGGAAGTTGGATTATGTTTGTTTAATCATATTTCAGGACACATGCACTTTTGTTTTAATGAATTAATATTGCAGACCCAGTGAGAAATGACGTATTTATGATTATATGCAATAATTCGCTGGCAGTTTGTAAAACATTTCCTGATAAAAAAATCATGAATGCTAATCTAAATAATGAATTTGCCTTCATATATCAACATATCGTAGTTGTTAAGTAAGACACATGTGTGACATGCATCTGTATTCCGAAACGTTTCGCCTACACAGTAGGCGTCTTCAGTTGAGTGTGATAAATGGTTTTGAAAACCGACAAGTTGAAGATTGAGACACTTATGCAACATATGGGAATCTTTATTGAAGAAACGTTTCGCCACAGTGGCTTCATCAGTCCAGTACAAAGCAGAGAGGTGTAAGAAGCGGAGGAGTTTGAGGTAATCAGTCCCTCAGCCTGGAATAGATGTGTTCAGTCCGTCACTTACACTAGTTGATGGTTCCATTGTGAACCCGCCTCCTCCTGCTTCCACTCACCCGACTGCAGTATATAAGCTACCTCTTTGGTCCTATGCTGTACTTTCTACAAGAGTGATGGACTGAACACATCGATTCCAGGCTGAGGGACTGATTACCTCAAGCTCCTCCACTTACACCTTTCTGCTTTGTATTGGACTGATGAAGCCAATGTGTGGCGAAACGTTTCTTCAATAAAGATTCCCATATGTTGCATAAGTGTCTCAGTCTTCAGTCGAGTACAGAGACGGCAACGGTGATATGCAGATGTAATCAGTGATGCACTGATTACATCCTCATAATGATACCTAACTCTTGCACATGTGTCTTACGTATCAACTTTTCGGTACTGTGTACCCTTATCATATTCATATTGTAGTCGTGTTCGCACATTCCCTGTTGAACAGATCCGTCGCTCTCTGGGAGATTTTGGTGTTCCTATCGCCATTTTTCTCATGGTGCTGCTAGATTATCTCATCAAGGACACTTACACCGACAAGCTCACTATGCCTGAAGGTATACAGCCCTCCAACCCTGCAGTCCGAGGCTGGTTGATCAACCCTATGGGCCAGGAGAAGCCTCTGCCTATTTATTGCATATTTGCTGCAGCTCCCGCTTCTATACTCGTCTTTTTCCTCATCTTTCTCGAAGAAAACATCTGCCAGTAAGTGGTGGTTAAAAAAAGTTCTTCGAGTCTTAGTATATAGGTACATATACAAGCGTGCAATTACCATGGATAATTTTTATGTAAAGGGTACATAAAAATTCTTTAAGGGTACATTAAAATTCTTTATATAATCTATGTGCTCGACGTCTTATTCAACAAAACTAATTAATGCATTATCTAATTCTATACATAACAAACTGTTCAGTCTTAACAAAGTTGTTATTTTCTATCAATTTATCTTCATAATTTATGAACCGGAGATCCAGAACTACAGTATTCGTTATTTTCTCCTGGTTTGAGCAGCTTGATAATGTTCTTATTTCCTATTTCTTGTGGCAGTTTGATTTTAAGCAAGCCAGAGCGTAAGATGGTAAAGGGATCAGGTTTCCACTTGGACCTTGTTCTATCGTGCTTCATCAACTTCCTCTCTGGGCTACTAGGCGCTCCCTTCATGGGTCCGGCTTGTGTAAGGACTGTGTCACACACTGCTGCCCTCACTATCACTTCCTCTGCACGCGGTCCTGGAGAATCGCCTAGGATTGAAGGTGTCAGAGGTATGTACGGTAATCTTTAAAACCACAATACTCTAGCTGGGACAATTTATAATTGACTCACAAAATAAAAAGATAGTAAGCTATGTTTCCGAACTGTGGAAAAGAAAAAGACAATTGCAGTATAATGTTATTCATTATTTTACATTTGTCTGGTTTTTTTTTCTCCATGTCAGTATTTTATACTATTTATCCAACGTTTCCCTCCATCGTGGATAGTTATCGTGACTTATACTGTTCAAGGAATTCATGTCTGCATAGATAACCTATTACTATTGTAACATATAAACGTAAACAATTCATTATCACTGTCACTTGTTTAAGTATCAGGACTTTGGGGCCCAGTCCCGGGACCCATTAAGTGCCTTTAAGAATCTTTTGACTACCGTCCACAGGATGGGTATGGGATGCATAATAAAAATGTTAAACGATACTGTTCCAATACAGATAGAAACTCTCAGTTTTTATATCCATTTTTTGTGAGCAGTGCATCAAAACCACACATACAGACATTATTAATGAAATGTAGTCAATATTTTGTTGTACAGTCATTAAACATCCATACATACGTATTTCCTCAAAGATGTACAGTATTACATTTGTTAATGAGTATTTTTTAAATACAAATTGTTTGTATCACCATACCGATTCCAATGCAAATTTGTTTTTTTATTGCAGAACAAAGATTGAGTGCTTTTGTGGTGTCAGTGTTAGTAGGGCTGGCTGTCCTGCTCTCAGACGCCCTGAACCTGGTACCAAAGCCAGTTCTGTTCGGCGTCTTCCTGTACATGGGGATTGCTTCCACGGCTGGTATTCAGTTATTTGAGCGATCGATTCTTATGCTCATGCCAGTCAAGTACTACCCGGATACTCCCTATGCTAGGAAGGTATGGAATTCAGTGATATAAAGCACGCTTGATAAATTATCAATAAAATTGTAAAAATCACTGTCAATGTTGTATGCAGGTTGTGGCCAACATAAAGGAAAGCCTAATATTAAATTAACCCATCACTGAGTATTTTACAGTTAAATTGCAGAATCATATGGATTCCCTTTATATAACTTGCTTCATTATTAACAGCATTCATACAGATTTTTTTCAACACGTCGGCCGTCTCCCACCTAGGCAGGGTTACCCAAAAAGAAACACTTTCACTATCATTCAACATTTTCACCATCATTCACACAATCACTGTCTGCAGAGGTGCTCAGATACTACAATTAAGTTGTTACTCCAAACAGCCAATATCCCAAATCCCTCGTTTAAAGTGCAGACACTGTACTTCCCATTTCCAGGACTAAAGTCCGGCTAACTAGTTTTCCTGAATCCCTTCACAAAATATTACCCTGCTCATACTCCAACAGCTCGTTAAGTCCCAAAAACCATTCTTCTCTATTCACTCCTCTAAAACGCTCACACATGCCTGCTATATGTCCAAGCCCCATGCACACAAAACCTCTCTTATCCCCTCCATCCTTTTCTAGGACGACCCCTACCCCTCCTCCCCTCAATTACAGATTTATACACCCTCCAAGTCATCCTATTTTCCTCCATCCTCCTTAAATGACCAAACCACCTTAACAACCCCTCCCTGGCCCTCTGAATAATACTTATAGTAATTCCACACCTCCTCCTAATTTCTCCACTGTGAAACTATGAATTCTCTGCATAATGTTTACACCACACACTGCCCTTAAACATGGCATCTGGACTGCCTGGAATGCTGCAGTATTTACAACCCATGCTTCACACCCATATAAGAGTGTTGATACCACTGTACTCTCATACTTTCCCTTCTTTGCCTCCGCGGATAACGTTCTTTGTGTCCACAGATACCTCAACACACCACCCACCCTTTTTCCTTTGTGAATTCTATGGTTTACCTTGTTTGAAAATTTGTGTGGACTGCCTCCAAGTGAGTCGCCTACCCTGGCAAACTCTGTTGACACCGAGCTCTGAGGTGGGTACCTCAGCCTCACAAGTGGCTTATAGGACAGATTTTCACAAATGATTGATGTTGCAAGAAACTCGCCTGCATGCACGTATAAAGGACTAACTTACTTGGTGTTGCAGCATATATCCTGATCTTCAACTTTCCTAAGCTTAGCCTTAGCCCCTTTGGACTTCCCCTCAGAAACCACGTGCAACCGGGAGCCTTAATTCCTGCAACATTCAATCGTTATTAGTGACCTGCCTGCACCTCAGAAATTCCTATATCCAAGAGGGTGTGTATCCCCTAGTATAACTATGCAGACACGGACACTAGCTTCCAGACTGCCAAGAGACACTGGTACTTACTGGGCATGCACTGCCTGCTGCACACCGGGCCCACAGATCAAACTCACTCACAATTCTCCCCAGACACTGGCCAGAAATCTACGAGATAAAGTGGAGGTCTTGTCTTACTGTATGGGCCTGACCGAGGTCATCTACGGTACATCGAGGTGCCTCTACCAGATTTCCCCAGGTCTCGAATGTGAAGACACGTGGGGGGCGCCGTCTGCTGATCACGGCACGTCTTGTCCAGTTGGTGTCTGTCTTAAGAAGAACGCTATTGTAACATTCATTGACAACTGGGACCTCTTCTATGGTAGAAATGACATGTATGCTAGGGATGGGGTTCACTTATCTAGGTGTGGGGTGGGAGCACTGGCAACTGCAGTGGAGGGAGCAGTTAGGACTTTAAACTAGAAATAGGTAGTGGTATGGGTTTTGGCAGGAAAACAGTGAAGTCCCAGTGTAGTAATATTACGAGTTCTAGGGAAACTAGTAATAATAAGAACGAGATAGATATTGAAAAGCCAGGGACCTTGGGTGATAAGGACAGTAATAGGTTTAGTAGAAAAATAGAAATGAGCAGGAAGGGTAAAGAGAAAGGAGAGTCTTTCAATGTTTATTATGCTAATTGCCGTAGTGCTAGGAATAGATGGACGAGTTGAGATTAGTTGCTAGTGTAGGTAACATTGATGTATTTGCCTTAACTGAGACGTGGTTTAATTCAAAAGTCGGGACATGCCTGCGGAATGTCATATTCAGGGTTTTAAATTGTTCCAAGAAGATAGAAGTATTGGGAGGGGGGGTGGGGTGGCATTGTATGTCCGAGATCGCTTGAACTGTTGCATAAAAACGGGTATTAAGTCTGAAGTAACACATACAGAGTCTGTTTGGATAGAATTTTCAGAGGGGCATGAAAAACTGATTTTAGGAGTGATATACCGTCCCCCTATTAGATAGGGACCAAGGGAAACTACTATGGGAGGAAATTGTTAAGGCCACAAGGCACGATAATGTAGTAATTCTAGGAGACTTTAACTTTAGTCATGTTGATTGGAATTTCTTGACTGGGAATTTAGAATCGTACGACTTCTTAGAAGTATTTCAGGATTGTTTTTTGAAGCAGTTTGTGACAGAACCTACAAGGGGAAATAACCTGCTTGACTTAGTTATGGCAAACAATGAATCCCTTGTTAATAATTTAGAAATTTCAGAGGAACTGGGTGCTAGCGACCACAAATCAATTACATTTAGCATTGAATGGAAGTACGATAGTAGCGATAACTCAGTAAACAGTCCCAGATTTTCGCTTAGCAGATTACGATGGGCTTAGAGAACACTTATCATCTGTTGACTGGGTAACGAAGAGAGCTATCAATATGACAGTTTTCTGAACACTATACATGCTGCTCAAAGAGCGTTTATCCCATATAAAGAAATTAGATCAAATAGAAATGACCCAAAATGGATGAATAATAGGCTCAAATATCTACTAGGGCATAAGAAAGGAATTTATAGGCGTATCAAAAGAGGTGAGGGTCATCTTATGAATCAGTATATTGACATTAAGAGGGACATTAAAAAGGGGATAAGAAAAGCTAAAAGGGACTATGAAATTAAAAATTGCTAGGGATTCTAAAACTAACCCAAAAAGTTTTTTCCAGGTCTATAGAACAAAAGTTAGAGATAAGATAGGTCCCCTTAAAAATAACTATGGGCACCTTACTGACAATGAGAATGAAATGTGCTTGATTTTAAATAATTATTTTCTCTCAGTTTTTACACAGGAAGACACTAACAATATTCCAGTAATTAATTTTTACAGTGGGCTAGAAGAAGATAAATTATGTAACATCACAGTCACTAGTGAGATGGTTGTGAGGCAGATAGACAGACTGAAGCAAATAAGTCGCCGGGTCCTGATGAGGTTTTTTCAAGGGTTCTTAAGGAATGCAAAATGGAACTCTGTGAACCATTAACTAATATTTTTAATTTATCTCTTCAAACAGGTGTAGTGTCTGATATGTGGAAGATGGCTAATGTAACTCCTATTTTTAAAACAGGGGACAAGTCGTTACCGTCAAATTACCGCCCAATAAGCCTGACCTCAATTGTAGGCAAATTACTAGAGTCAATTATAGCTGAGATATAAGAAGCCATCTCGATAAGCATAGCTTGATTAATGATACTCAGCATGGATTCACAAGAGGCCGGTCTTGTCTAACTAATTTATTAACTTTCTTCAGTAAAGCTTTTGAGGCTGTTGACCACAATAAAGAATTTGATATTATTTACTTAGATTTTAGTAAGGCTTTTGATAGAGTTCCGCACCATAGACTGTTAAAGAAAGTGGCAGCTCATGGCATTGGGGGAAAAGTGCTCTCGTGGATCGAGTCATGGCTCACTGACAGGAAGCAGAGAGTGTCCATAAATGGGTTAAATCCGAGTGGGGATCTGTAACAAGTGGCGTTCCACAGGGATCAGTCTTGGGCCCGTTGTTATTTATAATATATATCAATGATCTTGATGAGGGAATTACTAGTGTATATGAGCAAATTCGCCGATGACACAAAGATAGGTAGGATATATTGATTCAAACGTAGATGTTAGGGAACTTCAGGAGGATTTAAAACAAACTCTATTCTTGGTCAGAAAAGTGGCAGATGCAGTTCAATGTAGATAAATGCAAGGTTCTGAAGCTTGGGAGTGCCCATAACCCTAGTACTTATAAATTAAATGATGTAGAACTTAGCCATACAGATTGGCGAAAAGGACTTGGGGGTTATGGTGAGCAGCAACCTTAAACCAAGACAGCAATGCCTAAGCGTACGTAATAAGGCAAATAGATTACTGGGATTTATATCAAGAAGTGTAAGCAACAGAAGTCCAGAGGTCATACTGCAGCTTTATACATCATTAGTAAGGCCTCACCTTGATTATGCAGCTCAGTTCTGGTCTCCGTATTACAAAATGGACATAAATTCGTTAGAAAACATTCAGCGTAGGATGACTAAATTAATACATAGCATCAGATATCTTCCTTATGAAGAAAGATTGAAGACTCTTAAGTTACATTCACTTGTTAGACGAAGAATGAGGGGAGACCTGATCGAAGTGTATAAGTGGAAGATAGGTATTAATAAAGGGGATATTAATAAGGTCTTGAGGATGTCTCTCCAAGAGAGAACGCGCAGTAATGGATTTAAATTAGATAAGTTTAGATTTAGAAAGGACATCGGAAAGTATTGGTTTGGAAATAGGGTAGTTGATGAGTGGAACAGTCTACCTAGTTGGGTTATTGAGGCTGGGACTTTGGGTAGTTTCAAATCTAGGTTGGATAAGTACATGAGTGGGATGGGTTGGATTTGAGTGGGACTTTCACATCAGAGCTTATTTCTTGGGTGGCATTGAAAATTGGGTTGGGCAAATGTTTTGTTAGTGGGATGAATTGTAAAGGACCTGCCTAGTATGGGCCAGCAGGCCTCCTGCAGTGTTCCTCCTTTCTTATGTTCTTATGTCTTTGAGACCCGCGCCTCGTCATTCAAGCTAGGGCTGCCAGTTCTCCCTAGCTAACTTAACCTAGTGTTTACCTACATTATCGGCCTATTACT